ATTTACTCACTGATTAATAAGTTTATTAACATTGACAATTGGATGTAAATAAAAAGAAGCTTAATATAAATCAATGAACAAGAAAAACATCATGTATTTGGTTTTGACTCGTTTCCAAGTCGAAAATAGATATAATAAAATTTCAAATTGTGATTTTCTAATTAACTGTCACAATCAATTGAATTAAATCAAATATCTTGATTATGTAATATGTTAAATATTGTCCCTATATACTACTTTTAAGAATTCCTCAATGACGTAATCATTCTTATCAATTTTGATGATAGTTTTGTCTCTAAGTAATTTTCAAGTCAGTCAGTCAGTCAGTCAGCTACAACGTAGGACCAGGCACATATATGCATCGGTCCAAGTTGCCATACCTCATTAACACAACAAGATGGACACCGTATTCATAAAAGTAGTTAATTCAGTGGTGGTAATATATAAAAGGAAGATTGTGTATAAGGATATAGTACCGGAAGAAAGAATTAGTTCATAGAAAGAAAGATATGAAGCGATTTTAATTTCTTAGTTTAAGGAAAGACAGAGAGTGTATACACCGACGCCATTTTGATTGATTCAGAGCCGTCACCAAGAGTCTCTAACCATTGTTTACGATAGTCGTTTAATAAATTGGTTAAAATTCAAGTTTATTAGAGATTCTTTTTATATTTATAGAATGTAAACTATTAATTCTTTATGAAACTTAATCAGAAATCATTGTACTTTCTTAGAGATCATAAAATGATCTAAATATTGATATTAGATTTGTTCAGGCTTGAATAAATTCAGATTATGAATTGAAACAAAAATGTATTCAGTAATTTAATATACTGAATTAAAAAAAGACGAAACAATGATCTAGTGCTTCTATAATTTTCAGCCAATTTTATTCTATAATGATTACTATCTTAAACAGTCGAATAGTTCCAAAATCACAACCCCTATATAATATGATTGCTCTTTTTGTCTTATGGTAAAAAATTATTGATCTTTCTGAGGTTATAAAGCATTATATACTACATTATAGATCTTAGTGGTGATGATGATAAGTGAAATGGAAGCAAGTTGATTAAATATGACTTTAATTCTGAAATTATTATACTTAAATAATAGTTACATAACTTATTTTAAATCTTTATGATTGTAAAACTTAACACTCATCTTTAAAAATAAATTGGCTAATAGTATTTTAGGCTATTAATAACAAATTACAAGGTATAAACTATAGAGATTTGAATATTTCCTATTCTGATGAATTGAGATGGCAATTTTAGTATGTTCGTATAGAAGTCTATCTGAAGTTTGTGCTGATGATGTCGTTCAGAAGAACGATGAAAGCTCCACGATCAAACCATTCAGCTCAGAGGACAAAACTCAATCAAATTCAGTATATTTAGTAACACTTCATCAACCTTCACAATTATGAATAGGGATATTCATTTAGAACATTTGAAGTGTTGTGATAATAGAGTGAATTAGAGAATGATCATACTGATGATAATAATAATAGTTATGCAAGTATTTACACTGTTTATAAAAAAAACCTCATACATATGTGTAGGGTAGAGGAATAACAAAACTAATGAATCATCAATTAGCTATGTGAATAATGTATTCATTGAGATTGGTAATAATAGTAACGAGAACTGAGTGATAAGAATACGCATAGAGGTAATGTTCACAATTCCCTAAATCAGTCAAGGCATGAATGATTCGTTGATCGGTGAAGGCTCTGAGAGGGGAAGAGACTGAATATGAAATTTTTGTGCGCTTAATTTATTAGGTGGGGAATCAGAAATCTTGAGAGCTTTGTCACCACACTCTATGTACTGTTAAATGCTAATTGCCTATCAATTTTATATCCGGTATTTGGTAAATGGGACAACGTTGGGCTGGAAAATACTCGATAAAATAACACCGAGCTTAGTAGTTCTTTCTGAGTGTGAATCATTTCCACGGGAATAGTCATGAATGCATATAGAAACAGTCGGACATTGTAAACATGAATAATTCATAATTAATTATTTTTAATTCCTTGTTCTATACAGTCCTACAGAAAACAATTCATTGTGAGTGTTTGGAAAGAACTTGAGCATAATCATTATCTTCTGTCTAATGTAGCTAACTATCTTATAGGGAATAAAGTCTAGCTTAGACAGACAGCTTTACAGAAATCTGTTTTCTGTAATGCTGATTTTCACTCGTGGAATTACTACTCCTACTTGTGTGATTTGTGTGCATATTTCTCAAAATATCTAAATTATTTAAGTAGGTAGTTTAAATTTGATGTTAGGTAGTTGAAGACATTAAACATAAAACCCTACTTGAACTAGGTTTTCCGCTGGTTAACAGTCATCAGCAAGGTGTATTTATAATCAACGCCCACTAATTCCACATTCTGACAAATTACCACAGAGCTATTCGTTTTACAACTGAAGCATATGCATTAATTGATCACTGAGTAGTAGTCAATATCATGTTTATTTAGCCCTTAGTGATGATCGAGTATAATTGAGCAAGTTACAATGGTACAACTAGTCTCAGTGACTCAGTATCGTGTGTAATAATATGTTTTGACGGTAATCGATAACCGAAGTCATATAGAATGGATTATTTGTTCAAAATGAATTTTCAAGAAAATTATGGTACTACTAATACACTCTTTTATGTAATACAAATATTTGAAATGATTAGAATTTTCAAATACATAGTTTTAAAAGTGTTATCACAAAGTTATTTTATCAATCTTTCACAGTCACTTACAAGTGGACTGAGCCATGTTGGTAGGTGTAGACTACCTGATTGGGATCCGCGAGACGATAGCAACCGATGCTTAGAGACCTCGAATGACATGGCTCAAAATTGTTTGCAACAGCGCAAGCGCATCCACTCTTTGTGTTCTCCCAAATTCTAACCTGAATTCTTCATGTCCTTTTTTCTCTTTCCAAATTCATTTCACTGGATTATACTCCTTGAATAACATCTTCAAACCCTAATCTCTCCAATTATTGCTTATACTTTTACTACCTCTACCACTATGTGATTTGAATGGACAGTTGTATCTATGTGCTTATGTGATATGGAAACTTGAACTGCTGTACGTATGTACGAAGTTCTACGTTGTTACTGACTGACTGAGTGCTTTTACATAAAAAAAATTATGAAAACTAGGGGGAATATTTTATGAAACACAAACCAATCTACTCTGAAATTCATAAGTTTCTATGGTAAAAATACTCTGATTTTAAGATAACAAATATTTATAATAAATTTTGAGAAAAAAACTTTAAATGATGTAAAATTATTGAATTTGTTTAAATCTGTTTAATTCATTGAGCGGTCTTTGTATATATTGATGGAGCATAACTATTTCAAGATCATTCTCTATGTCCTTTAAGTTCATTATAATAAAAAAGGGTTATCCAATCGATGCTCAAGATTTATTTAATCCGCAAATGCCTATTCTAAATCTAAATCAGCTATAAACAAACGATATGGCATAAACATGTATCAGTCCAAATTGTCACATTTGAAGTTAGTACAGTGTAAGATAATAGGAAAATGTTGAAAGTAAAATATTCGAATATAGTTTAAGATAAACAAATGAAAAATGATATAATAATAGTAATAATTAAGCAAATTCTAAAATTAAAGATAAATGAGAAAATAGTTGTTTTGATTCCATTTCAAGTTTCAATAAATACAGTAATAGTGTACAGTAGTAATGCGATCAATAGGAATAAATATAAATTGTCTATTTCTGTGATGTTGTTCATTAGTAAATTGTTGTTCACTAGTAAATTTCAAGTTTCATAATATGGTTATGGAGATTGTTGACTATTATTGGGATCATAAACAGACCAATATTAGATCAACCAGTGAAAACCTGGAAGCGCTAAATAGTCGTTTTGTCCTTATCAGTGGACATCCATGATCCCACGAGAATGAATCGAACCCATCACCTTATCTCTCGGACACGAACGTTTAATCTGTAGATCATTGAGCTGGCATCCAGTGGTGTTAATGTCTAAGTTCAATCAATCCACAATATTACGTGACCATCTCCCATTGTCATCCTGATTTCGAATTCTCTATTTACAATCTTCCACAATATCTTTTCGAATCATATTCCAAATGCTTAGTCTTTCTTTTTATCATTTCTACTCTCTTATTTCAGTCCTTTTTTGCTATTCAGTTTGCCAATTCCATTCGCTCGTGTAAATATGATATAATGACTTGGCCCAACACACATGTCAAACTCTACAATGATGATGACTGACCAACTGATGTAAACTTTCGAGAAATAAGGTGCTATTTGGAAAGAATTTTAAAAAATTTTATTACTGAGTTTTTATATCTCCAAATTGTTAAACTTTCATTCTTAATCATATTTTTTAAACCATTTTGTTCTTCAGGGAAGTTGAGTTATTGTTGACAACAGAATCTGGGACACTCATTTTGTTCTATTTGTGACTTGTAGGCTAAATGTACCTATAACTCAGTGTTAATGTTCACCCTGAGATTCGAATACAACACCTTTTGCTTCAGACCACCAAAGTGTTGTTCACTGAGCTACTAAATTCAGATAACCATTAGCTTGAGGAACAGGCATGATGTCTAAATTCATTTCAGTAGTGATTTGAACCATCCTATTGTTGATGTTCCAGCTGACTAAGCCTGAATTGTATGAAAAGTCAGTCCTGACTTCCAATGCTACTCATAACCAATTCATTAATAAAAATTTACTTAGTTTGGAGGTGATCTTTCTAAAATCATGAACTGATATCGGTCGGATTACCGTCTTTGTTCACAGTTACTCATTTTTACTCACTCGCGAGCTTACACAAGATTCAATCTAGAAATTTTTCATATTGTAGTGACCTCATCAGTTCTTAGTGAAAATTAATCGAATAACTAGTAAGCGTAATATTTATAACAATAATAATAATAGTGCGTTTTATGACGCCTTACTTCATTTTTTTTTTTTTGTATTATAGATTCCTTTACTAAACCTGCTATTTCAATGGAAGTACAATGTATTTCGAAAAATGAAATTAAATCAAATTGTTGGTCTACTAAAACATGCCATTATCCTTATTCGAATTCTCATTCAATAAATCATGATTGTAATCTAGAACAAGAAACCTCACAATACAAACTGATGAATACAAATGGTATTCATCAGAACAATAATGATATTTCAACAATGTTAACTAATCATTCCTATTTAAAAAGTAATCTATTACCAATAAATGATTCATGCATATCTAATGAAATATCGCCTACACGAAATACCGATAATAGTAGTAATACTAATAAAAATGGTGATGATGATGGTGATGTTGATGCTGATCAATACTTGCCGTCAATAATGAATAAACAAAAATCATTATTTGTCAGTATTGGAGTACAAACTGATGATCAACTAATTTCAAAATGTTGTAATAAAGAAATATTATCAAATGAAAATTTGTCTAATATCTCTTATTTCTGTGATAAAAACGATACTAATACTACTCATGATAATAATAATAATAATAATAATAATAATAATGATAATATGGAAAGTTTAATTGATGCAATTAAATGTGTTTATGCTGAAATGAAAATCGAACAAGCTGAAATGATCATAAATAATTTAATTGAAAAATTTGCTGAACCATCCGATATGTATACTTCTGTAGAGAATCTTCCCAAAGATAATTTATTATTTTGTAATATATATAGTGATAATAATAATAATAATAACGATAACAATAAAAAGTCATTATTAAATGAAAAATCATCTAATTCTCCTCATACATCAGTATCATTTTTTTCACCTATTTTTAAATTACTTTTAACTCAATCAGAATCACAAATATTTCCTGATTTGTATAAATTAAGTCCATCAGGACGTAAATTATATGATTTATGCCATCGACTTGCATTTGATATTAGACGTACTAAAAATAAGGTAAGTGTTTCTTTTCTTTGTGTGGGTGTTTGTGTATGTCTACATTTATTCTATTCATTTATAAAGTTATTGAGTTCCCTTTTAAAGTTCTATTATTTATCTATCCATCTTATATAGAATACATTATATCTTGATATATATAAATACATTTAAGTAATTGATATTTATTGTTGCCTTAAATAATTGATATAAAGAATTGTGAGTAGATGGTTAAAAGAAGTCTTTTCAAAATGAAAATTCAGTTATACTATATTGTACATTGATTGATCCATACTATTATCATTATTATTCGTTTAGTCTAAACAAAATTTTCCGCATTCTTCATTCTAGTTCATTCTATTATGAATTTTTTTAATTTAACAAAAGAATCAAATAATTATTTTTATTTTAATAGTTGGATTCATAAGTTAATTGAAGCTAGACTACCATGGAAAATCTGAAAGCACTAGACGGCCGTTGTGGCGCATTATTATTTTTATTATTATCATCAGCTTTATTCAATATTATATTTTTGGTACAATATAGAATTCTCAGCGCAAAGTATTTCAACAAGTTTCCGTTTCTTACTTCTTCGTCGGTCCTGGCGATAAATATTGAGTGATCGCCAGTTAGATGTTGACAGTTCAGTAAATGAACATCTGAATAATGTACATTCTTTTCGTTGTATATTGTCTCTTATTGAGTTTTTTATAACTTTGACAACGAAAGGTTGTACACTTTTCAGAAACGCAGCAGAATAGGTTATACGATTAATAAACATAGTGATATATTAAAACAAACAAAAATAGGTAGCTTGTTGAAATATCTAGATGGCAGGAACAGGTAGCCCAGATGCTCAAGCGGGCCGCATGTATCTAGGTTTTCTGCTAGTTACTACTTGCACTTTACACGCACTATCAGTGTTGAGGTAATGGACACTTCTCACATTGCTGAGGATTCCAATACTGGGATAAAACGGCCGTCCAGTGCTTCCTGGTTTTCCATGGTGGTCTAGTTTTAATTGACTCAACTATTAAAATTACTATAATATCTACAAAAACCCTTCTCTGTTTACAATTATTTTTATGCTATTCAAAATTGTGATAACAATGGAATCATGTATTGCATCAAACTCTATATTGTTTTATAGAATAGACATTAGTGAATCAATGGTACGTACAGATATTTTTAACCTTTATAATGAAAATGATACTCAATATAGGGTTGTTGAAATTAATTATTTTGTTGATATCGTGAACCGATCTATGTTAGACAATCATTGAGTGCCTAGAAGTACTGGACTATCATTCTGATAGCTGATTAGATTTGAAGTTAAAAAATTATTAGATTAGCTTATGAGAAATTCAGTACTAGGTAAACTTATATGTATTCGTGAATTTCTATGCTATTGTTTGTTTCATCGTAAACCGCTATTGTTTTTTTATTTGAGGCTCGATTCACTGACAACTCTCTTACCTCTAAGCAAAAAGTACTATTGTTGTACACATAGTAAATTTAGCTAGTTAGGGAAATAGGCACTTTGCTCATAGTGTGGTGTAGGCTACTTATGTCGACACACATAAGTATTTTGTAACATCAATCAAAAAGTGAATTCCTGTAAAAAGAAGTTTGAGATTACGCTGAAGAAAAAACAGAAAGGGAAACGTAAAGGAATTGAGAAGAGGAAGAATTATGAAGGATGTAAGGGACAATTGATGGAAGATTTGCAAATGAAGTATTGAATGTATGGTTTCACATTTTACAAAAGAGCTCTGCACTTTTTTATTAAACAATGGTTTGGTTTACCCCACCTGAGTTCTCGTTCTCTATAATAGTCTAAAGGTTAACACTTCTGGGGTGAATTTTATTTATTATTTATATCCATCAACCTCTTTTTAACGCGTTCTATTGATGCTCTTTTTACAACAACATATAGATTTTATTTTGATATACATTAGTAATAAATAAACATAAAATCAATTTAGACTTTAATTGTTATACTGGTAATCTGGGTGGTTGGAAACAAATTTATTTTCCTTAAAATAATTTGTTTTATACACTTTCGAAGTCCTTTTTCAAGCTTATGAACATGTCTGTGTAAATATATTAGTTGCTTGGAGGGAATGTTCAGAAAAACATGTATCTAGGTTTGCTGCTAGTTACTACTTGTACTTTACACGCACTATCAGTGTTGAGGTAATGGACACTTCTCATAGAATTGGATGAACAGGATCTAATCAACACTAGGACCTTGGCAAACATAAAATTAGTATATATATATATATATATAGTTTAATGTTTTTTTTGGCACACATTACCAAGGTCATTTTTGGTCAACCTTGAGAAAATTTCTTTTAAAACCAAGTTTGTCTAAACTTAAAGTGTGTTACAGACAAATTAGGTTTATCATTATTTTAACACGTTTGTAAATTTATCATAAGTGGATGTACTTCAAACTGTTGATATTTAGAGACTATAAGATCAAAGATAGAAATTATTGATAATTATGTGAAGCCTTTAAAAATAGTTGTTATTTTAAATTCACTTCCATAACATCAGTTAAAGACATTTGAAAAACCAATAGCAATCCAAAAATGATTGAAACGATTGACATTAGACGCTAACACCATTGGATGCCAGCGCAGTGGTTTACAGGTTAAGCGTTCGCGTCCGACAGAGAAGGTGATGGGTTCGATTCCTGCTTGTGGAATCATGGATGTCCACTGGTAAGGATTCCCATATTAGGACAAAACGACCATTGAGTGCTTCCAGGTTTTCAATGGTGATCTAGCTTAGATCGGTTCACGATCTCGACAAAAAAGTGATTGAATTACTACTTTTTATAGCCTGGTTCCTTTCTTCTGTATTGTTTACCGTTGTTCGATTTAGTGAAGAACTTATTATTTTGTCGTAATTCTAGGCCCTTTAGTTAAATTATGATATATACTTTATTCTGTATCAATATCTTGGTGCTTTTCACTACAATATTCTTTTTTATTCACACTAATAATGGGTTTTAAACTTTAGAATATTTAGATTTATTTATTATTTATTTAAACCCATAAACATTGGTACAAAGGGATAACGAATATGTATGTGTCACATAAATCATCCGATTTGTGTGAGGGCTAGGACACTGTCCGGGTGCCCAAACTGCAGCAGGTGCTTTTCTTGGGGGACGGCACTCGGAGCCTTTGATCCAAAGGTTTAATTCAAAAGGCAATGGAACAACGCTAGGAGATACAATCCTATGATAGTCGGTGATCAATAATGCGTTCATACGTCATTTGTTTCCCGAGAATCCTGGAGCCCATGTGCACCTTCGATTTGGAATGAGGGTTTTCCGACTCCCCTAGGTTGACCCTCCATATCCATCAACCCGGTTAAAGCTCCGGACATTCGCTTTTCATCCTCTCAAATTCGTAAACAGCAGTAATGCCGCGAGAAGGCAGTGAGTAAGACTTTCCTGGCAGTAGTTGTATGCATGTGGGCACTTGAGAGTATTTCTCGAGGGAGAGCTGACTCTCCCCACCTTCGGCCATAGCAGGGCATTCGTGGGCTCCTCTGTTTTACGAAATGCCATCTAGTTGTTAAATTATCTGGTAAATAAACATTTTTGCATGAAATTAATCCAAGACAATTAGTGTAATGATACAACATTCAAGTAAGCATCACTGCTTATGATTAATTGTCAGTCGAAATCGTAATGCAGCTTATTAGGTGAAAGTTAATTCAGTTTACTTGATATTTTGTGAAATATTTAATCGTTAGATACCTATTCTACAAAACTGTCGTCTTTCTGTTTCATACTCAGTGTTGTTGAAAAATGATTTGTTTCTGAAGAGGGAATATTAAACGATCTGAATAAAAATTTAATCAAATGCCTATTACTTTCCATTCAAATCCTCCTCACAGACTAACGTATAAGTTTTATAAAAAGTTTGTAGAGATTGATGAATTTTATTTTTCACATCACTCACTGGCTGACCTTAGATACCCGTTGGAAGATACTCAGTGCTTTCTGATTCCCAACGATTATCTGAGGTCTGTTCGTGATGTAAATTATAAAATGTAGATTGCACATTCACATTTAAGATTATTACTACAAGAATGATGGAGAAATAAATAGCGACATATTTATTTTGTCAGTATAGGACTGTAGAGATTGATGGATTTCACTGAAATCATGAACTGAACCCACGAACGAATATCGGACGATCACTTTCAGGTTTCAGGTGGTCGAAAGGGTACTTTTCAAATCGTACCAAGGTAATAGGAAGTAAGAACCAGAGTTTATAGAACGTCGGACTGGAAATGCACTGTACTTAGTCCGGAAAAATGTCGAAACATATATGACACATAAATCAAATTCAAAGGGATGGCAGAACATTGATCACGCAAAGCAGACTCCCGTTTCAAATGCTCGTAGATTCATCTCAAAAATGCCCTAAGGAGAACGAATCTAGGGGAGATAAAAGACGTAAGAACAAAGCGGCACAACCTTCAAGAGTGATGGACCGCAAGAGGAATGCGATAACCAAGTTTCAGGTGGACCCGAGGAAAACGTATTACACAGCAGAATTTAAAGAGGAGAGGTGTGAGGACCACCCACGAGTAAACTCGAAGAAGCTCTAAGAAGCTCAGAAAGAGCCGAAGATATTCCACCCAATCATCTTTTGGAAGAACACTCCGGAATCTCTACGTGTAACTTCCCTATTGGACAAATGCGGATTGGATGACTATAATGATGATTCCGTTTTACTAGAAAACTATAAATACCTGATAGTTTTGTGCCATATTTGACACTGTTTAGAACAGCATTCCTTTCACTTGTCACCTGTTTTCCCATTTGCAACTTAGAGGGTTCTAGCATTTGAGTGCTCAAGTTATATGCGATATATTGATAATCTAAGCTCTAGATATAACAGTGGGAAAAGTAGAGAAGTCAGTTTATGACATGTTAATGTGTAATGAAAGATACTTGTATGGGAGTGGTATATATTGATATATCAAATTTTGTC